TCCCTGCATGTCTTGCATTTTTGTCTTCGGTTGGGATCATAGAAGCACAGCCTGTTAAGAATCTGGAGAGGCAACATGGACAGTGCTAAGGTAGACTGAGCTGTGCCATTGACAGATTGGCCCATTTTGGTTCAACAAGCTGTTGAAATAGCCTCCGTTTGAACAAAAGCTAGTCTTCTTTCTATATAGCATTTACAGTTTTGAAGTTAACTTTTTAAGCAGCAAGTGTGAATGAATATTAAAAATGTGTAGAAAAAAATTCACTGGAGCTCATGTTAGAAAAAGAGTGGACTGAGCTTGCTGTTCTTGTCAGAAGATTCATGACAATGAGATAGAAGTACCTGAGGAGCGATATCTTGTCTCCTTATCCTTGGAAAAAGTGCCAGTTCAGATCTTTTTTTTGAAAAGAAACAACATCAGCATGAGGAGCCCTTTTCCTCTGTGGGAAACCTCCCAACAGATATGGGTCTTTCAAGCATATGATTTGGAAGGGTCTGTAAGACTCGATTGCTGATAAGTATTTCACTATCTCTTAGGAAAGCCTGCCTTCTCTGCCCATTCACAAAGCTTATTTCAATTGTTCTCTTACTTGCCTTCAAATTTTTAGCCCTTAGTGTTTCTAATTATATTTTCTTCTCAACTGCACAAATGCATTACATTTTCCTCATAACTGCAGAGAATTAAAACCTTACTGGTGATTATGTGTTTGAATTGAAAGTGACTCATGTGGAGTCCCAACACATGTATGAGTCAGGCTGCTGTGTATAGGAGCGATGACATTACGGATGATTTCTTTTTAGTGAAGATGTCATTTAATACATAAACTTTGCAAAATTAAAACTAACCTGATGTCAATTTTTGAAGCCCTTGAGACTAGCATCTCGGCCACCTGTTGCCTGCTGAGTTTAAGCCTCTAAACTGAAAAGCTGTTCTCTAAAAATAGCTAAGTTGTGCATTGTGCCCTGAGGGTCAACAGAAGAGATTCCAGCTTTAAAAAGATGTTCTGGACTCTTTTGTTGAAAGCAATAGAATGTATTCTCAACTAAGTACGTAAATACTTAACCAATCAACTCCCATGAGTGCAGATCGGAATTACAAAGGCTAATACTTGCACTTCAGGTTGACGGTTGACATGTATATCATCCTGACCTAAAATATGGATTCATAGTATTTAAGTACACGGTATGAGAATATAACTTGGGACTTTCAAAAAACGTAGGAAAAATGGGCAGGAGGAAAAACATTGTTATCAAGAGAATGAGTTTGGCCAGGGGAGAAGAGTGAGAGAGTACTTCCGTTCCTTAAAAACCTCAATGATTCTGAGAAAAGCTTGCTTTTAAAACTTTTCCATGTGAAAGAAGGTATGTTGTTATAAACAAATTATTCCGCCTAATCCTTATAGTTTTTTTCTCCCATCTTATTGAGAAATCATTGTGGATGTAGCTATGCATTAGTGGGTAAGTGTGTAAAATCTGTGTAACCTTCTACTGATAAGTTTAATGGTGTTTAGTTCAGATTGACAGAGTTTTATATCCTCTCTATTCCCCTCTTCCCTCCCTCTGCCCCCCAAAAAAGCTGTACTTAGTTGGGCATATCTTTCTATTCAGAAATACACAAAGTGTAGATTTTTGATGCTGTATGTTCCCTTTTAATGAAATTAAGAATATTTTGGGTTTTTTAATCCATACACCTATACCAGATCAAAGAGGAGTAGTTTTCTATCCCTATTTTTGTTAATCCTGTAGATTTCCCTATACAAAACAAATTATTTTCTACATTTTAAGATGAAATTTTCATGTCTAAGTTAATATGAAAAGGCAAGTTTATAATTCAAGGTAACTATAAAAATTAAGTATTTTGTTCTTTTTCTATGTTAAGACCAAAAGGAAAAGCTGATGCAAGAGAACAAAGACCTGCAGTTATGCTGCCTGGAACATAAGCAACAACTAGATGAACTGAAAAATCACATGAAGCTTTTGACCAAGGTGAACTCTATTTCTGTTTAGCATATGAGCAAAAAAACCCCCACCATTCTGTGTTTTATGCATAGTGCAAATACTTCTTGAAGGTAAAAGAATAAAGAAATATAATAGTGTTTGTTTATTCATGATATCAAGAAAAATGTCATGTCTAGTGAGAATGCATCTTGTTATTCTGAATGTATTTCTTCAATATTCATTCATATCTGATAACACCTTTTCATTAAGTATTTCTCTTTCAGGAAAATTATATTGATGTGACAGAACTCAGTGAAGCCCTCTCACTTATAAAGGTAACTTACAAAGAATAAGCATATGAGGGGTTGGAACTAGGTGATCTTTAAGGTCCCTTCCAACCCAAACCATTCTGTTTTTGTTTTGTTTTTTTTTTTTTTTTTAAAAACTCTTAGTTGACCATTACATGTTTTCTGCACAATGCATGGGATTTTCAGGAGCTGAATTATTTGTGCATCTTTTATAGTTAATGCTTCAAGCTCATATGTGTGCTTTTGTCATTTTTCAGTTACAGTGAAGCAGAAGGGAAGATGCAAAAATAGCCAGGATGAAATCTAGATTTATGTAGATAATTCATTATAACGCCAAAAGTTAATTAAACCAGATTGACAAAAACTTACTTTTTCTCAGTTAAATACCTTATACCATCTTGTTGTTCTTCATATAATGTTTATTTTAAAAAAACATTTTTGTTTATTAATACTATAATTTATGGGAGCATACTATAAACATGGAAGTTCTAAAATGTGGTACAGCAATGATTGGCAACCTCTCTTTGTTTATTAAAACAAGAAAACAAAAATACCCAGAAGACATTCTATTTTTTTTCTTTTGCACATAAGTTGTAATTTTATTCTTTACAGCAATATTGAAAATGAAGTGAGGGCAGGGGGAAGAAATCAGTGAAAAGATAAGTTCTCATTAAGTTTCCAGTGTTCCAGTGACTAACATTTTATTTTCTTGATGAAGTGTTCACTGTAAATAGAATCTTTTTCTGCTACTGAAATGCAAATAATAATTCTATAATGATAATGAAAAAAAGAAAGAAAAAGAAAAGCAACACTTAGATGAAACTTAAAACCCAAGTATTAATAATGGAAGTGGAGTAGACTTGAGAATAATAATTCAGATTTTGTACATTCACTGAAGCAGGATTATTAATTATATTAAAGGCAAGTATATTAAGGGTTTTGTATTTTTGCTGGATAGACAGGAGTGATTACTTCTGAATATCTCGGACATTTTAATTGGTTGCTGGTAATCACGAGATAACATTACTGAATACAATCCTAACACTTACTGGTCTACCTCATTCCTATTCTTTTTTTGAGTTACCACATGCTCAAAATTTACAAAATTATGCTTCTTGTTCCAAAATTATTTCCCAGTGTTACATTTAACCAGACAGAAATATATCCAAATATTTTGCAAAAGTTTGTTCTAATAATTTTTCAAATTTGCTCCAGGTTCGAAAGCAGCAGAAGAATGGGGACCTTATGTTTTTGGAAAAAGTAGAAGATGATATCCATAAGAATTTAGAACGCTCCATGCGCGAGCTGCAATTAGCACATGAGGAAACAGTGCAAGAACTTGAAAAGACAAGGAGTATGTTAATTTTGCAGCACAAAATTAACAAAGATTACCAGGTACTAAACTATACTCACAGTGGAAAATAACCGGATAATAACATTTTAACACTTGTAGCACTGAACTTGTCATAATTAAGACTTGCAAATTCAGCAACAAAGCTAGTCTGTTTATAGGTAACCTAACAGAAGATTTGCTGTTGTTGAAAGTATTGTTTAAAAAAACATGAGATCCAAGTGACTATAACTTTAGCCTTTTAACTCACCCTGATCAGAGCCCTCAAACCATGCTTTCTTGGGATTATCTCTGAGCTCTTATCAGGTCCTCACAGGAAAAATAGTAAGTGTACATATCAAATAAGCTTCATTTTAGACAACACTCTGCTTTTACTCTCTTGTGCTGGATTATTTCAGATCATATTTGACTTTTCATTCAATTAATCTAAGTTTAAAATAACAGAATCTTTAAAGAAACTATTAGGAACGTTATCCTCAAAGAATAGCTAGTCTGTTTTTCTTAATGTTTTTAGATTTTGCTGAAATTCAAACTGATTGCTATATTACTGAATTAAAAATTGCTGCTATTTTTGTGTACTCTAAGTGTTCTTTCCTCAACTCTAACTGTATTTTAATTTGTAGCCAAAAGCATATGCAGCATCAGTGCAGACAAACCTCAAAAGTCCTTTTCACATGCAAATTTTTTTCAGACTGAACTAGAAACAGTGACACAAAAGATGGAAAGTCTACAGAAAGACTATGAGTTACAACTGGAACACTCTGTCCACCTTCTTGATATTAGAGCTACACGCATCAGAAAACTAGAAGGTATCTTTAAAGTATATTCTTATTTAATTTTTTTAATATTTTATCTCTTGCAAATTATTCTTGTAAATTTGTTCTTCAGTTGAAACACTTTTCTATTCTTAAAACTAGTAAAAAGGTCAGTTCTTTTATGGAAAATTACCTGTGTGCTCTTCCATTGACTTCATCATTTAAGTTATTAATAAAACAAAATTCAACAAAGCATTTTATGCTGCAGCTATTGCTGAACAAGAATAAAACTACCAAACTTAGTATTTTTTTTAATAAATCATACATTTATGTTCAACCTTTTATTTTGCTGTCCTATCATTACATAATCATTTTAGGTCTTGCTAAAAATTTCAAAGTCACGGTATAATATACTGACAGAATATTTCAACATTAATGAATTTCAAATGCTGTTTTAACAGCTTTAGTGTGTAAAAGATGCATAGGAAGCCTGAAACAGGATACCTTACAAACCCCAATGTCATAACAATTTTCATGTGTTGTCTCTAAGTTGCATCCCCTGTACTAAAGGACGGCATGATGGTTTATGTCCTAATTCTGTAAGCACATATTTTGATTTGTTCACCATTTACCACCTGTGACGCCGGTCAACATATAAAGGTCTTTGCTGATAGTTCTGTCCACTCAGGATACTACAGAGGTTAAAAGTCAGATGTATTCTTTCTTTCCCTGGCAAATTTAATTCGGCCTTACAAAAATATGTATCTTAAGTCTCTGCTACATTTGCATAGTGATACTTACTTTGATCATTGCATAAAACTTCTGAATTTTTGCTTGTTTAACTCTCTTGTAATCTGTTATTAGTTGTAAGGGACCTGGGTCTATTTTTGTGTATATTGAAGCAGCTCCATTGTGGAGGTATTCTTGATTGTTGTCAGTGTGCTAAACGAGCAGTAGATGTATGATTTTAAATGTGTGATTTCTTTTTGGTAACCCCTTTAAGAAAGTTACGTTGTTAATATAATTGAATTATGCTTTTTTCCTCTCTACTCAGTCGTTAATTATATTTGATTTTTAAACAAGACAGTCATATTGTAGCTCTATTTTATTTTATTTGTTGCAGCCCAACTAAGAGATACTGTCTATGGCACAAAACGACCTAAGTCCAGACCAGAAATATTGACGGGTGATCCAGTGGATGAATTAAATGAACCTTTACGTATAGAAAGAGGAGAGAACCTTTTTGAAATTCATATTAGCAAAGTGATCTTCTCTTCTGGAGCCCTGCATGCTTTTGGTGACCATGAACCTGCAACTTTTTGTACTTATGGATTCTATGATTTTGAACTTCAGATAACCCCAGTAGTTTATGGACATACCCCATCGTATGACTTCACTTCTCAGTATCTTGTGCAGGCTGATGACTGCTTCTTGCACTATATACAGCGAAACAGTATCACACTTGAGGTTCATTGTTCATATGGCACAGATTATGAAACAGTTGCTACATGTCAGCTGAAGTTCCATGAAGTCTTGGAAAACAATGGGAAGATCTATGGCACAGCAAGTTTAGTTGGTAATTAACATGTCAAAAATTTTTCTGTTTGATGCAGGATTGTAAGTGACAATTAAGTAATGTGTATTTGGCCAACAATGAATTTGTGTATTAATATTTCAAAAGAAAAAAAGAAAACACACAAAGCATTTACACAACATGGTATTTCCTAGTGGATGTGCAGTATGTTCTGGTGATTCTGCCAGCAGGGGTGGGAAGGCTCTGACAGGTGCAATTTTGCCCAGAATGGCTGAGGACAAAGATGGTGTTAATACAGTGATCCTGAAGTAAGTAACTTTAGAAGTATGTGACATGCTGGAAATGGTATTAGAGAATCTTGTCTGAAAATAGCAAGTGATTCTTTGTCCTGTATAAAGATTACTTGCAAAGTGTTACTACTACACACGTAATGAATTTTAATGAAATATAGTATCATCTTACTCAACAGACTTGTACAAAAACAACATGGAGAAAAGTAATTAGAGCAGTGTACTTGATTCCATTGTAGTACAATTCATACATTAGAATTCATGTGTACTGTAGAGAAGATATTTTAAAATAACTGATAGTCTTTTTCATTTTGCTTTTTTATTTTATATATTGTTAATTATGGTTTGGTATTATTCTATTTTTGCATGTACAATTTCTCTGTTTGGCACAATATACATTAAAACCAAAAATATTTCTGCATTATAAGGCTATCAAACATCAGTGTTTTGTATTTGGCCCAAGTATCATAATTATATCCCCTCATTCCTTACCAATAAATAAAGGAAGAAATGATTACAGTGGTTGTAATTTAAACTGGTCAGTCAGAAGTCTTCATATAATGGTTGAGGCATCAAAAAAAGGTGCGAATGATGGTGATTACAGTTAATAATATTTCATAAATAGCATAATCTCTAGGTTTTGTGGTTTTTTTCTTTTAATTTAATTCAGTATTTTAAAATAATTTTAAGATATCCAGGAGAAACCTTTTTTAAGAAGTACTTAATATTCCATGGTGCTTGCTTTTTCTTTTGGAAGTATTTTGTCAGATCAGTATATTTAGAGACCTCTGACTGCCTGCTTTTGTAAAAAAAGTCTGATTTAATAAGCCATTATAAAGTGGTATTTTTGCCAGTAATTTAAACTGCATACCACTGTATGGGACATTTCCAACTGTTGACATACAAAACTGTCCTAAGCTTTATTTGCCTTAAAGAGATTAAAATAATGAACTTGACTCTATAGCTTGGACAGTAGATATTGCAGTTTACACTATGAAAAAATGGTCATGTTTTGATTTTGGGTCATACATGTAGAGCCAGGGGAGGAGTTGTTTCTAACATGAACTGCTCATCTCATGTCACAAACACTTTCATAAAGCATAGTCACAAGATAACTAATCTTTAATTTGTGGCATTTCCTAGCTTTTGATTTAAGTACTTTAATATTGAAAAGAGAATTAATACAATCCTATATGTATTTATTCCTTAGGAATCAAAGGAAACATTGAAAATTATGGTACCCTAGAATACTGGATCAGGTTACAAGTTCCTGTGGATCAAGGTATTAGTCTCTACAAAGAGAGGTCAAAGGCTCTGGGTTATATAACATCCAATTTTAGGGAACGTGAACAACCATCCCAGGTATGTTTGGGTTTGTACTTCATAGTTTTGATAGAATAAACAGTTCAAAATTACTTTTTCAGTACAAATAGTTTACTTAACGTTTTAATTTGTTCAAGGTAAACAAAGTTAAGGGTTCTTGAACTGGAAAATATCTTTAGCAGTTGAATGACATCTTTTTCATATAAAGAGATAAAGAACCAGTTGAATCATAGCTTTCCTGAAGAGACAAAGTCTTGAACTTCAGTTATTTGGTTTTACTGTAATTGTCACTAGAATATTTGAAGTTGTCATATTCAATTTTCTTATCCTGAAAGAGCTAGATTTTGTTAACATTTTGTTCTAGTACAATATTCATGAATGTTAAACCAACTGGGTGTCAGATCAGTACAACAGGTGAAGTGGTTGTTCAGAAAAGTCTCAAAGTTCTTAACGTTTGAGAAGTATGAGATTGAGATTATTTAACATTTTCTTTTTTTTTCTTAAGCTGGATAATGAAGAGAAGTTTGATAATATAATGCACTGTATAATCACATTTAAATAGGGGTCACAGAAAAAGAAGGGACTTTCAGATACCTTTAACAATTGTTTAAGAAACAAAAACAATCATGTTGAAATGTATAAATTAAAATAGAGTTTCTAACGCACAATTTTATCCATAGCTGTTTAAATTACTGTAAGTCTGGAGTAACTTTAATGTTTTATATTATTCCATAATGTAAACTTATACTAGAATCTCAATGGATTCCATGATGTAATCTGAGAAGTATGTTTAGTGTATGAATTCTGTTAAAGGTCAGTGTAGGCATTTTCAGAATAACTTTGTGTTTGATAACATTGTAACATTTGCTTTAAATCTGACTTTTGAAAGAATCAAAGGTATTTTTAACTAACTCACAGTATCTGACCATTGTTAAATGCCAAAATCCGTTATTTAGTTTTCTCTTATTTTTTGATTAAGTTGCTTCTAGCAGTGTTATCAATCCAAACACACTTGAAAGGTAAGGCATGTGGAACACAGCATTTTGTTGTAATTATTGTAAAATTGCAAATTCAAACATGGCAACTGAAATATACTGATTATACAGGAGAAAATAAAATAGGAAAAATGGTAGAAATTAAGAACAGCTTCTATAAAGCTGTTTGAAACACTGCAGTTTTCAGAAATGTTTCATGTCAGAAACTAAGTCATAGAGCTGTAACAGACTGTTACATTATGTTAAGGGTTCTGTCAATCTGCAACTGCAAAAGTAGCTTCAGTTGTACATTCCAAAATTTAAGCTTTCACTAGTTAAACATACATATAAAATTTACTGTCCTGTATAGCAGCAGAAATCGTGGAAACATGAACTGTACATAAACTGCTATAAATTTTTTTTTCCAATTCCATATGTAGCCAGAAATAGTAGTCGTAAGGTTGCAAACTGGCATGTTTGGTTTTCTCATTAACTATTTCAGTGTATATTATTTAATCAAAATATTTAACATTTTATCACACAAAATCAAATTGATACAGGTTTCCCCATATACCAGAGGACAGAACTCTGGCTTCCACAAGCAAGATAATTATATACAATTAATGAAAATAGGTGTGACATATTACAGTGAAAAAGGAGAACCTTTTGAGATCAGTATAAATGAGGATTACTCATTTAAGATAGTCATGTTATTTGTTTTCTTCTTAATCTTTAATTTTTATTAAAATGAATTTCCCAGTTTGCCAACTATTGGTTCCACAGTATGTACAAGGCATGCTGATAGGTAATGCAAAAAATTTGTGTTATCATTGAGTTTTTTAATTTACTTCAAACATTTATTATTAGTCTTCACATGCTGATTTATTATTTTTGTAAATTGTTTATGTAGATGAAGTTTTTGGAGGAAGAAAAAAACAGAGGAATCTGTGGTGCAATTTTAATTAATGAAGAGCACATATTTAAAAGGGGCTACAGTTATAAAAATTTCTTGACACAGAATAGCTGTCAAGATCAGAATCCTTAATTTTAAAGTCGCACTAGATATGAATCACTCTTAAAACTATTACCTTCACTGCTTTGTAGATAATCAAATGACAAGGCAATCATAAAACTTTAGAAGAATTAAGCAAACAATCACAGACCTGTAAGGGTTAACCTCTTATTTCCTTATACCAACAACCCAAGATAGATGTTGAATTTAAAGAACAAGTGATACTTTGATATATAAAATTAAACAGTAGTTGGAGTGTCATTGAAAGTTATTTGTTTTATTTTATATAGTTCTTAGAGTTCACCAAGATAAGAATTCTAATGTTTTTAATTTAACTTCTTTTTCATTTAAAGCAACAGATACTGAGAACTGCCCAAGTCAGCACTTCAACAGATGGCAATTTAAATGAACTCCACGTTACAATAAAATGTTGTAACAATCTACAGTCCCAAAAAAAACATCTTCAGCCAAATCCTTATGTTGTCTACAAGTTTTTTGATTTTGCAGACCATGATACTCCCATCATCCCTAGCAGCAACAACCCACAAATAGATGACCATATGTATTTCCAAGTGCCAATGAATGCAGATTTAGACCGATACCTAAAATTAGAATCCTTAACCTTTTATGTATTTGACGATGCTGAAACGGAAGAAGGTGCTTATGTAGGGTTTTTTAAGCCAGTGTGCCTCTTATTTCTTTAGCACAAAACAGATCTATCTCAGGTAAGAATTAGACATCTTTAAACTTAACAAAATCTTCACTTTCTGTTTCATATCTCTTTAAATCTCTTTAAGACCAAAACTAAAGAAAGGCTTTTCAGAAGGGTCTGGACAGACTGGATTGACAGGCCAAGGCCAATTGTATGAGATTCAACAAGGCCAAGTGCCAGGTCCTGCACTTGGGTCACAACAACCCAATGCAATGCTACAGGCTTGGGGGGGAGTGAATGGAAAGCTACCCGGCCAAAAAGGCCCTGGAGGTGTTGGTCGACAGCTGGCTGAACATGAGCTGGCAGCGTGGCCAGTAGCATCCTGGCTTATATCAGCAATAGTGTGGCCAGCAGGACTAGGGAAGTGATTGTTCCCCTGTACTCGGCACTGGTGAGGCCACACCTCAAATACTGTGTTCAGTTTTGTGCCCCTCGCTACAAGAGAGACATTGAGGTGCTGGAGCATTGTCCAAAGAAGGGCAACGAAGCTGGTAAAGGGTCTGGATCACAAGTCTGAGAAGCAGCTGAGGGAACTGGGGAGATTTAGCCTGGAGAAAGGGAGGCTCAGGAGAAACCTTATCGCTTTCTGCAACTATGTAAAAGGAGGTTGCAGCGAGGTGGGAGTCGGTCTATTTTCCCAAGTAACAAGACACAGGATGAGAGTAAATGACCTCAAGTTGCACCAGGGAAGGTTTAGATTGGATATTTGGAAGAATTTCTTCACCGAAAGGGCTGTCAAGCATTGGAAGAGGCTGTCCAAGGAAGTGGTTGAGTCGCCATCCCTGAAAGTATTTAAAAGACTTGTAGATGTGGCCCTTAGGGACATGGTTTAGCGGTGGACTTGGCAGTGTTAAGTTTATGGTTGGACTTGGTGATCTTAAAGGTCTTTTCCAACCTAAATGATTCCATGATTCTAAAAACCAGTATCATTCATCTACTGTTCTTGTCTGACAGAATTTTAAACACCAATGAAATCCTGGAAAGAAATTTTGCATCTCAGTGTTACTTAAGTCATGGCTAGTGAAAAGTCCGTGTCAGAGCTCTGAAGCTGATGAATGATTTCTTTTAAATATAAACATTAAACTTCAAACACTAGAGACAGAAAAGACCAAGGGAGAGAAAAAGTTTCAAATATCTCCTTTTCATGAAGACAGTACTAACAGAATGTTCCAGCATTGTTGCATTTTAACTCAAATTTTAAAGTGGTGTTTCTTTTGCGATTATCCATCAACTGCATTAGATATGAACAGTATGCCTGTACCTTACAGGGTGGATTGCAATAGTTGTGTTTTTTTTCCCCTCATGACATTTTCTGAGATTTACGAGAAAGAAGTAAATATTTTCTTTAAAATCCACAAGTAAAAAAAAAAATAAAAATCGAAGGAACCTGGTGTACAAATATTCATTTATCATAGTCCTAACAAGGATGAAAACTCTTTTAAATCCTTTTTTTTCTCTACATTAGCCCAGATATGGAATAATTATGATTTGATAAATAATTATAATTGGAATGAAGTGTCACTCTAGCACTGGCTAAATTTAATTGCTAATCAATTGTTGATGTTTTCTTTTTTGTTAGCATTTTAGTAATCTGTTTGCATCTGTCTTTTACCACTGTTTTTTTGCCTTGAGAAGCCTACCAAATTTACTAGTTATATTTCTCACCCTACTATATTAGGAGTATATTTCATTATTAGGTAAAAGGCCCTGTTAGTCTTAACATCAGATGGGAAAGGGTGACTGAAACCTGACTTTCAAAATGTACTGCTTTCATACCTGACAAGATATCAGTGAAACAAAAATAGTAGGTATCTTGAAATAATACTGCGGGAAGGGGGATGAGCGGAAATCAAGTGTTTCTCTCTGATTCAAAAGTAACCTGGAAATATTTGATATCTTCTTTTTCTGGTCCTTTTTTTATGTTCTAATGATAAAAAATGTTTCCTGGCATATCCATACTTTCTCCTACCTCCTTTTTTTCTGGTGTTATGCTACTTCTTTTTTTCAGGACTGATATGCTAATTTAAAATATGATTTCTTTCTGTGCATGGCTTCATTTGTTTCTTATTAGTTTCCTTTTCTAGTTTTGGCTAATGTACACTTACAATAAATTAGAAAATTGACATAAGAAATCAGCCTCTTGGGGGTAAAAATACCAAATCAAGAGCTATGCTTGGAATCTTAGAATCATTGTTGACTGGAACTCCTGATATGATCTAGTCCAACCTCCTGATGTAGTTAGAGCAAGTTGCTCAGGACTTTGCCAAGTTAAGTTTTTAATATCTCAAAGGACAGAGAATCTAGCACCTGTCTAGTCAACCTATTCCAATGTTTGATCACCCTCGTAATGAAAACCTTTTCCTTACAGAGCTGGGATTTCCTGTGCTCCAACTTGTGCCTGTTGGCTGTCCTTCTTCTGCTATGCACCTCTGGTTCTGTCTTTTTCTCACCCTCCTGTTAGGTGACCATAAGATCCCCTCTGAGCCTCCTCTTCTGAAGGTTGAACAAATCACTTCTTTCAGCCTCTTCTATATTATGTGCTCCAGTGCCCTGAAGCTCTCTGTAGTCCTCCACTGGACCTGCTCCAGAATGTCCATGTCTGTTTTGTGCTGGAGAGGCCAAAACTGGACACAATATTCCAGATGCCATCTCATCAGTGTCTGATAGAGAAAGTATGAAACTTCCCTGGACCTGCTTGACTGCATTCTTGCTAATACAGGCCAGGGGGACAGTTGGCATTCTTTGCTGCAAAGACACAACTTGGCTGGCTTATATTATTTTTGCTGAACAGGTCCTGCTCTTTTTCTGCAAGGCTGCTTGTGGCCAGTCAACCCTCAGCCCTGTACTGCTACTTGAGCCTATTCCTGGGCCAATGTAGGACTTTGCATTTGCTTTTGTTGAACTTCATGGGGTTTCTGGCAGCCCTTTTTTCTACTGTGTGAATGGCAGCCCTGCATTCAGTGCAACTGCTCCCTGCAAATTGATTTCAGTTACAAATTTACTATGGTGTTTATAATATAAAAGCTGCTTAATGATTATTTCATTGTCAACTATAAGACATTCATGAAAATTTTAAGATATAGTTCTATAATTATCCCATATAAATGGTTAATAGAAAATTCACAAGTGAATTTAGGGTGTTTCTTTTTCAATAAAGATTTAGCAATTTGCATTTTTTTTAAACCCTTATATTTTTCTTAACAAAAGTTAGTATTAGTAAAACATGGAAATGTTTTAGTTAGATATTTTGAAAGATGTCAATAAGAATTAGTTATCTGGTATTGGATTATCTGAGAAACCTGCAGGACATCTTGAATGAACATAGTAATCCAGTCCCTTCTAAATCCTGTCTTTTTGAACATCCACAGTGTCATATTGGATATATTTGGATCTACAAAACAGAATGTTTTGACACTATTTAGCTTCTAAAATGAAGACTGTTAAGTTCCTTAATTCCTGAATGTTATTCAGTTTTGCATTGCTTTTTCTTTTATATGTATAGAATAAGATAATTTAGACAAGGTTTGCATTTTGCTTTCAGGTACTTTTGAAATAACAAATTCTGAAAGACATACTATGGGTACCATCACAGTTCAGTTAGAGTGGAAGTTTGTCTACCTACCACCAAGTGGATCAACAATGGCTGCAGACTTAGTGAATTACACTCAAAATAAGAAATCAATGGCAACTAAATTACTAGCAGAGGAAAAAACCCAAGCTCCAGCCCGGTCTCCTTTGACTTCATCAGTGACTGTAAGTAATGTAACAAACTCACAGAAGTTAAGAGATATAAAAGACCTATTACAGCAAGTCATTTAATTCTTCCCTGATGACCAGGATTTGTCCTTACTGTAAAATAATGCATAGTACAAATACTTCATATAACCACCGTCTTTGACTTCCTTTGGGAAGTGAAATCCTTCTTGTGTCCAAAACTTTTTTCAAGTCTTTTAGAATGGTAGATAACTGGTTAGCAAAAGGGAGGGGAGAAAAGGGAGGAGAAATAATAAACATTAAACGTCTTCCCTATAAATTTAGTGCTTATTAATTCTCTTTCCAATGTATATGTCCTACATAAAATATAGTCTTATGCTTGTGCAACTTCAGGACTACGGTTGAAATTTATGACATCCATAAATCAACTATTGTTTCTGTGGTCTCTTAGAAACTCAGACAGAACTCAGTCAGTTGGGGTAGCTCTGAGTCAAAAGAATTCTCAAGCAACCAGACCCAAGCTATATGAAGAAATACATAGGTGTATCTGCACCACACTCTGTTATTCGGTGCCTTGAGCATGGTGCTAAGACACCCAATAGCTTCTTGAAAATCACCCCTAAATTAAAAGTAGTGTAAGGATTTTTTTGTGTGTGTATAAAATCAGTGGAAATGGAGGATAATTTCTACCTTCAAGAGAGTAAAGCATGAAGAGTAATAAACCGCTTTTTCTTTATTATTTTTCGTCTTTTGTATTATAACATCATGACAGAAATATTTCTGGATCATTTTGTTAATTTTGCAACTATTAGTAGTCTCTCTTCTGTTTCTGTGTTAAAATTCTTCAAAGGGAGTGGCATAAGGAAAGTTGTCAAAGATATGGATGGTAAGCCTACAGAACAAGAAAAGACATCAAGCACTCCATAAAAGATAATAATAAATCATTCTGCCACATATATGATACCACTGACTTCAATCCTACAATGACTTCTCACCTGGAACTCACATTGCATTCCACAGATGTTCTGTAGAGTTTTATACCCATTTGTGGCTGAATTCTGAAACGCATCTCCATTTGGGGGTGGGGTTGCTTATTCAAACAACATCTATATCATTTTGCCTGTTTGGAATTGAATTTAGTGCAGTTAGATTTGTCTTTGAGAAAAATTAGTATCCCTCAAAATTTACTGTAAAATAAGATGGTTAGAATATGGCAATAAATGGTCTTCAACTATATTTGTTTTATTACAGAAACCAACACCCAAACAAAGGCAGCGTGAAACTCAAACAAAGAAGAAATTATCTTTTCTGGGTCTTAGTACAATACAGATGGCAGTAAGTTTTAAGTATTTTGCTTATGCATGTTGGAGCTAGAAAGGCTACTTATGTCTCAGTATGGACAATTCATAGAACTAATAACCGAAAACACTCAATTACTTTAGCAGGACAAGACTGTGATGTCCCAGGCAATGAATGATAGCATAGTACTGCATACAGGTAGAGGATAAAATACACAGATTTTTGTGTGACTCCCTCAGAATTGCTTGCTATCCTCCACAGTTTACAAGCTTCAACTTTCATAGACTATGGGCAGATTCTAACAGGATCTATCAGCTGTCTCTGCACTGTGTTTCTCAGTTCTCTGGGTTATTAATTAAAGTGTCTTTGTACAATGTACCACTTGCACAGATATTTAAATGGCTCTACAGAAACCAGCTTGATTCTAACAGATCCTGAGTATTGTACTTGTTGGATACACAATTTGACACAGTTCAGAGTCACCTCTTAAACAGGGTTTATCAGCTGAGATTACACATGCTGTGAAAACAATTACACTTCTCAACTTGGGATGCATTATCATGTGTGCATCCTTTTCAGACTCTAGGAGAGTCTGTATGCAATTAACTGAAACATATCTGCTCTATGGTGTAAGTTTTCGTTTGATCTTAAATAATCTGCCTTCAGAGAACTAAGAACAGGCTGTATTTACTCTTTTAATTAAATTGAGTAAGTTAAAGTAGATTCTTTAACAGCTAATTATAAAATGTTTTGGGTATTATTATTAGTTAATAATATTATGTTGCATTAATTAATTAAAAAGTAGCTATGATAATTTTTTCCCATTTGTAAATGCCTTGATTGGGTTTTATTTTTGAAATTTTAACATCAGTTTTCAATTCACAGGTTCTTCTGCTGTTGTTTAGTTTACCATGACAAGAACTTTGTTTTGAGCCATATGGTATAGGCTGGAAATAAGAATTAAGTCAATCTCTTGTATTTATTAACTTTTTTTAAAAAAGTCAAATGTTGGTGAGATCAAATCTTTTGAGAGTTTAGATATGGAAAACTGAAGTGTTAGCCATATAGTTACACACACAACATATCTTCACCTTCCAAACAATAACTTCTCAAAGTTCAACAATTTTTCTCAAACTAGGTTTTTCTAAGGGAAACAGCTACTTGATCTCCATCAGAAGTCTTCCTTACTGAGTGGGCAACTCCCCTAGCTCCCCAAGCCTCACTATCTGGTTAGAGACAAAAGTACTGTTAGAACTAAATAATGAAATAGCTGAGGCTTCTCTGATGTCTAAATCTTGTGGTGAAATGGCAAGAGAGTGTCCGTGCAAAAGAATGAATTAGAAGTTCAACAGATTAAAACTGTACAGGAACAGTCTGTTTCATTTTCCTCTGCATTTTCTGAATAGCAGAGAATCTCGTTCTTGGGTATTAATGTGACACATGCCGAAGCAAATAGTTGTTTTCAGAAAAGGACCCTCACTGAAAAGTAGGATGAATGGCTTGACTCATCCAAACCGTTTGTAAGAATTGTCCAGGTAGAAGCTATAGCAGAGGATAGAAGCAGTAATGCTAATGCAGGGAAGCAAAGGTGGACATAATTTCCTGTCCAAGTGCTTCTCCACTGGAAAATTTATACCTACTTCTGTGTATTACTTGTCTACTATATGTTAAAGGGTTCCTCCTATTTTCCCCATAACTTAGGACTCTGTTGTTGAAAATGACATAGAACTTGCACAGACGATGAAGGCTTCAAAAGTTCCAAGTGTTTCAGAGGTATGAGATTATAGAGGTTTTGCAATTTTATATAATATATTGCATTTGAATTCCACATGTATGTTACTTCTTCAAAAATCAAACTATGGTAAAGTAAGATCTCAAAAACTTCTCTGAAATATGAAAAAAGTGATTCCTTATGATGACAGTCTTCTTTTTTTCAGCCATTAGAAAAGGAGGAATATCTCTACTTATTTCCTTGTATGTTTGGATGAAGTTTATTTTGTGTTCCCTCCAAAAATTACCATTCTATAGCAGAGGGAAATGGAGAAGAAATAGAGTAACTTTGGAATATTGTTAAATATGTAGCATTCCAAGGAGAAGAAAAATATTAGATATTGTAATTTGTAATGGTCCAATTGGTTGTGAAAGTAAGTTGTGGCAGATTGGCAAACTGTAGTTTCTAGTGGTATAACACAACATTTAATCACTGACTTTTCCTTTCCCTTTTCTACTTTTAAGCTCATCTAGGGCTTTGATTGAGAAGTTAAGTCTCCCTTTGTCCACAAGTAGAATAACCAAAAAGTATTCTCTCTCTGAAAATTTTATCCACAAAATGCAACTCTGTCACTAAAGGAATTGAAAAGAATGGCCAAACATTGTGTAAAACACAGTGGTTCTGACACATCTATGCCAAGGAGGAGCATAAGAGACATAAAGTCAGTTTTCTATTACTTGAAAACTTCAAGGATAGAAGTTTCTTTATAGAATAAGACTCCTAAGTGTTTGTTAGGATTGCTTTGCTTGGTGTGGCTCCAAATGTGTTAGAATAGAAATAACTCTTCAGCTCCAGTTTTGAAAAATCTAGATGATCTGTGGACAGCTCATGGATTCTGAGGGTGGGAGGTGATGCATCAGTATCTCTGTGGAAAATTCAATCCTGGAGGAGAGTTGTTGGATAATAAAAAATGCACAGGTCTCCACTAGGTTTCCATGGAAGATGCCATGTCTCTAATGTTATATCCATTGATGAGGTATTATTCTATGTAATTGTACTCAAAAAGAAAGAAGGGAATAAGATTACTTTACTTCAGAGTAAGTTATGCACTGAAGATGTTTTACTTTAGATAACACATTTGTATTTTGTAGCAAAGCCGATTCTTTTTTATATGATTTTAGTTTACTTTTAAAACAGAAAATATTGTGTAATTTAAGTTATAAAATTGCCAACTGAGTAAGGTGGTGGTGGTTTTGGGGTTGTTTTGTTTTGTTTTTTTAATTTGGTCTTGTAGAACTGAAAGAGCTGAAATATAAATTAATCTGGAAATCTAACAGGCTGTATAGATGTTGACAGGTACCAAATGATTATAATAGTTATGTTTTCACAAATATACATCATTAGAGAATTGTCTTTCTACTGTATCAATTATTTGTTACTGCAGTTCACAACTTCTCATTGTTTCCTGCACAGCATAAGCAATATAATTGTTTAAAGGCTTTGTGTAATGAATGTGAGCCATGACTCTTCAAGTTTTGAACTTTAGTAACTTGTACTATTCAAGGAGTGTTATAAAGACTGTAAGTTTATCTATTTTTATATAGCATGTGGTACATAAGGTTAAACAAGAAAGACTAGCAAATGATAAGGTGAAGGAGATGGCTGAAGAAATTCAACAGGAAAAAGAAGACCTCTCAAATTTACCAGAGAAGCCGTTGACTGACCTAAGCTCAGTTACCTCTGGAGATAAGACAGAAATAACTGAAGAATTGGAACCGGAAGGTAGAATTCATTTTTGTGAATAAATAACTGTATTTTCTTAATAAATCTGTGTCTCTTTCCGTTTTCTTATGCATTTCTTACTAGCAGTGGGAGCTGCCTCATTATGAGAAGCTTCATGACAGAAATGATATTCTGGTGTACTTTATAGCTGAAACTGGGTGGTGGATATGGTGGTGTTATTTTCTTCCCAAATGGAAACTGTATTGTAATTGAATGCAAAAATCTGGTATCTGACCTAGATTCATAAAATATTAAAAGAAAACCTGGCTTCTATTTTAAATGTCTTTATATTCTCCCTTAGAACTATGCTGTTCTAAAGACTATTTTAATGAATATGCTCCTTTTGTCTGCAGATAACAGCCAATGCTGATACTGGAAATTCTTTCAGACAGTGAGAGGGATAGTATGTCTTATCACATCTGTGACATAAAGTTGTTAGAGGCAGATTTATTTAAAGATTATAAAAGCCAGGTCATCCTATTCCACCTCTGAGCTTAAACTGTTTATCGTTGAAATAAACCAAGTCCACGATACCAAGTTTAAAGTAAAAGCACAAGCAGGATGCTGAAATTTTGTGTTCAGTTGTTTGCAGCTTCTGCATAAGAATTCATTAGAAAAAATGGAAAAACATCATGTTGAATCCCTGTTGTGTTTATAAGTAATTCACTCCAGAGAAAAAAGGCCTGAATGCTTTAGAAAATAATCCACCTGCATACAGAACTACTTCTTTTTAACAAAATAAGTACGTTATTCTTTACATGTGCATGGTGTTAAACACAGTCAGAGGAAATCCACAAATTCAGGCCATATTCTTATATAAAGCTAACTGTTGTTCATACTTCAGTTCATCACAGGACTTACATCATTCCAGTCAACAACTTTCATCTAGGAAAAATTACTATTTTTTTTAGAAAATTGGAAAAAAATACAGTTTAGATTACTGTAAAGGTCATTGATTTGCCAGTGTTAATCTTCTGCAAGGAAGAGATTTACCTGGCACTTACACTTAATTTATTAGAAAAACAAATATATTGCTATCAGGTTTCTTAGCAAGTCTCGGACTACAAATACAGGAGGTTTTAACTACATTGTTTTTGGTTTTTTTTCAGATAAAGATAGTAGACAAGAAAATGATGCCGTTGAGTCAATAATAACTGACAGTGATGACTGTATTGTTTCAAGTTCAGTATCCAAGAATATTAAACTGGTGAGTCAGAGTATTTGTGGCAGTTATTTGGTAAGTCTAAGAAAAATATTTTAAGCCCAACGTCCTCTAAGAGTAGCTTTGCTATATCTAAGGTCAGATTGTAAGGCATTTTCAACAAATGTATGTTTTCCTATTTCTGGTTCAAATAGACACCTTTTCACAGAAAAAAAGAAAAGTTTACCTGACCATATTGTGCATGTGATTTATGGGTGTTTTGTTAATGGGGAAATTTGTTGTCATCTTTCCATTATTGTCATACACACTTTGAAGTAGACATTTCTAATTAGTTTCAATCTGAATTCAAATTTTAGTCTTGCACAAAATCTCCCTAACAAAATATAACTATTGTAATGTGGATGTCTAAAGAACTTAGTCTTGTTCAGTCCTACCTGTTGCCTTTATGTGCCTATATGGTTTTCTCCTTCTTCCAGTGCTTTCTGAGGAAGGGGAGGATAATTTCACTTGTGAAGGCCTGAAGTAAATCTACAGTGCTTAGCTACCTACTGTTTTTCATCCCAGTATGTTGACTTGATTGAATGTTGTTAAAATGGCAATTGCATAAGCTTGAGGTTGTTAATAACATGAAAACTTTGCGTATATTTTCTAGTTCATGCACACAGATTTCTTTTTGTTCCTGACTTCCCAACAGTTTTAGAACTGAACATGAGCTTTCAGTAAAGTTTGTACATGTACAGTATCCAATCACTTCATTGTACTTCTTTTTCTATTATTATTTGTGGGCACGTACAGTAATGATATTCTCTTGACTTGTTCTTAAAACCAACAATTAATGAGTATAAAGTCGTATATACGAAATAACACAGCATAACACAAATTTGGAAAATTTACTTTGAATGGCATTTCAATAGTATAATTCTCTAAAAAATAAGAACATTTCATACTTTTACATCTACCATTGATTGAACAATCTTAAAAAATATAAAACTGCACTTAAAATTGATTATAATACTTCTAACAGTTAATACTTCTCGGGCCTTTCTTGGCCTCCTTTTAAAGGACCAGGGGTGTGCTCTTATATCCTATCAGTCTTAACTTTTTTAATGCTCTGCGATGTGATAATCTAGAGGTAGTCTGATGATTTTTTTTTTTTTTAATCCTTTTTTCAAGGCTTTGTGACATCTTACAAACTAACTAGCAACAAGAAGCAATGCTTCATATGAGAAATACTGCTCCTTTTTTTTTTTAAGTTTTAGAAGGGACTTAGAAATGCTGTCACTTGTATTAACACTTATATATGATGCAGAAAGATACAGAAGGTACTTTTGAAGACAAAAGTGCATTGTTCATATGTAAAATGTTAAAAAATTGTTGCACCTGTAATTTTGAGAATTAAAATGACTGCTACTCATCACCATTAAGTCAAATTATTATACAGTTGATTATACATTTCTAGTCATCTTGTGTTTTATTTTATCAAAATTATTTAAGAATGCTTCTGAGAAGATTTTGAGTGTAGATTCATTTCAAGTTCATCAATTTCTCTCTCTCTCCATTGATCTGTTCCTCTGGTAACAAAGTGCACGTTCAAGAAGGGTAGATAAGACAACAAAAGTTATAAACTATTAAGGCAACATGTTTGATACGAATTGGTTTTTAAAAATAGGGATTGGTATATTTGAAATCTTGGGTTAATTACAACATGTGAAAATTGTGATTGAATTTGTATTTTTGTAAGATTAAAAATCACTACCTTTTATCTTTTGAGATAAATATCCTGCTGGTAATCAAACACCGTAAATAAGACTTGTCATTTTTAGAGATCGTTATGCTAATTATCCTATAAATCTGAGTTGTATGTGAAACTGTTTAAGCTATTTAAGATCATACTGTTTCTTTTTTGCATGTTGCAAATTAGACAGTTCATGGTTCTTTCCTAGATATGTTGATCATAAAGGATATCTAACAGATTTTCCAGTACTTAGCTGTACCACTTGCTTCTTTCTCTTTTCTTCTTGTCTATGATGTATAATTAATCATAGATTACTTCATTTTGTTTCATTTCATTTACAACATTTATGAGCTTCACTTTGTCGGTATGAAATGCTTGTCCCCTTCTTTCCTTTCCAAAGTGGCGTAATTAGTGTTAGCATCTTTTTTAACAGGCTACATAAAGTTTAGTGGCTGGATTAAATCAAGTTATTAACATAATGTGCTATACAATTTGCCCCTATCTCTTTTCGTTTCCAGTACATCAAAGTGCCACAGAGTGCCAGTGTAATTGGGCCTTGCTAGCTTGTCAGGTTCAGTCAGGCTGATGGCTGCTGCTTTTACTAAAAAGCTTCCAGGCATGATAATTAATAGAGAAAAGAAGTCTGAGAAATGTAAAAGTTTGGACAGTTCTCTATGAATATTTCATACATTTGAATAATCAGAAGTTAACATTATCAATTTGATGTATAATACATTGATTAAAAGCCTTGTTTCAGATCCTCAAAATAGACATCAAAACTGGAAATTTGCATTTCCTTTGGCATGGTCGTTATATTTTTTTCAAAAAAAATATTTTTTTAAAAAAAACCTTTCTCTTCCATTCCCTCCTCCCTTTCACCCCTATGTCTACACTGTATCCTTACAGGAGATAATATAGCATTCAATTATCACAATAAAATTTACTGCCGTCAGCTTCCAAGTTGTCTTAAAATGTACCTATAAGGCAATTACTGGCAAAACCAATTTATTTGGTGATGGTTCTGTTTTTTCTATAGGTGTGTTTACACCTCTCTTTTGTTGCAGATACTGTGAGTGCATTATCTGTCATTATCAGTTCCTGTAAATTAAGATCTCAGGGTCTAATTAATTTTGACATGAAAACTTCTTTTAAACACCATTAAAAAGCAAGACCAATTGCTTGTGGTTCTGCTGGTCAGTGAAACGTGTTTGTGCAAAGGTGGAAAGATGTAAAGCATAAAGCTTACGTATAGCAAAGCAATAAATACTTTTTATTATGCCTTTTTTCTACAATTACTTGAATAATGCATTCCCTCCTATGAGAGGAATGCATTCATTGAATAAAAGAAAATTATTGGACCTTGTATTGCAATTTTAAATTTTGGTTGTCTTGATTTTTCTACATTTATTTTCTGCAGGACTTGAGTGCCTTTGGTGTACTTCAGGGAGACTTCTGAATGCTCAATGCTTTTCTTAAACTGTCTTGTTCTGTGAATATCTAATCTGAATTTAGAGAACTAAAATATTAGGTTTTCATATTACCCTGTGTTGCTGTGTTGGCTTGATTCTACTGTGCCAGTAATACTAATCCTTTATATTCTCTTAGTCTTGTCTAGATCTAACCTTAGATGCTTTGTGCTTTTTCTTCTATAAGAAACTGGGGAAGTAAAAGTGCTGCACCAGCATATTTAATAAAAAAAGAAATAAAATTAATGAAACAGAACTATCTTATCAGTGTAAGATAAAAGTAACTTATTAAAGCTTTACAGTGAGTATTTTCAAAGACTACTGATGGGTCTAAGATTAAAAAGGAGCATATAGCATTCTCCATCTTTAAGGTGTTTGTTTGCTATTATGGTCACTATTAGGCAGGAACTAACGTAAAGGAGAGAAAGTTTGAAGAATTCAGGGAAAGACCTAAGTTGTCTTTTGCCACTGATAAAGTTTGAGATGACAGTAGTTTTAATAGTCAGTACACTGAAATGTTGGATGTACAACTTCTGGTGCTTGTCAAATATACTTTGAAGTAATAATTAGAAGCATGTACTACAAGTCATTCTTCTTGATGGAAGAACTGAAAGAGGAGGGAGAAATAATACCAAAAAAAACTCAGACATGAGCTTTTAAAATTGTTCAAAACAACAGAATCATAAGTCATTAGGTAACCCATTACTTTTTAGGTAGCAAATAAAACTAATTAGCATATTAAATGAAGTAGAAAGTCAGATTTAAAGCTGAGTGCATAAGCCAACGGGAAAAGCATCAACAGGAGCTATTTTTAACTTTTTATTATTTTTTGTGGTTATGAATATGAGTGCTCCTCCGTTGCTTACTTTAGAGACTATATTTATCAGGGCTCAGTGACATGTAAGTTATGGTGACTTGATAAGTAGAAAGGAGTATTTTTCTAACTGGAGGCCTAAAAAGCAAAGGATGGGATTTGAAACTAAATTTGAATTTTGATTAGCTGTGATATATATATCACCAAGCATATTTTTTTTTCCACACTGGGTAATATGAGAGAGAATCAAATTCCATTCATTTTTGCATGTCTATATTGTCCCAACACAATACTGTAATGGTGAGGAGGACACAGTATCAAATGTTAAATGTTAAAGCTCTAAATAAAAAGAACAGCTGTATTAAAAATGTGCGATTTGATACTTTTTTTTCACTACAGATGCACTCCTAACAAATGAAAATGCTATACTGATACTTCTGCTTTCTTCCCATACTAAGGTTGTTTTTTTTCTAAAATAGATTAACTTTCAAATACAGATTTTTAAAAATTAGTTTATTTTTTAAAATCAAACCAGAAGTCTATGATCTACATATAGAAAAATACAGGCATAGATATATAGAAAAGCAGAAATCCTATTATATTTGGTTTTGTTTGGTTTTTTTACATAATACTGCTACTTATTTCATCTTATTTCTGTAACTTAGATGTTGACATGTATTAGCATACTGAAAATGTACAGAGTAAGACCTCTTTTTATCAAGAAATTTTCTGTCTTTCATGCTTATTTACTTAAGGATCATGCTTCCTTTTGAAATGAAAGGTAACTAAGTTTACAGAGCGTTTGCATTACTTAGTTGTATGACTAGCTGATACTGATGTAGCTAATTGGCTTTGAGATTTGATAAAGTTGGTATTTGTTTTTTATTTTATCTGGTGGTATAATCAGTGGTGAGTGTTTAAATACTAATAAAAATGAAGTCTCCTCTTTGAGATAGTCTGAAGTAGAGAGGGCTGTAGCTTAGATCAGGACTGTCACAATATTGCTTGTGTAGCCTTCCCCACTTCTTGA